GGGGGGTGGGGGGGGGGGGGGGGGGGGTATTTGTTTTTTGGGGGGGGGGGGGGGCTTGCTCAAACGGGCAAAAAAACGCGCACACAAATGGGAAACAATCACTTCGTGTCAAATACTCCGCAACTTTGTTGAGTCTTCGCTTCAATGTTTGAATGTTTGGGGGAGAGCGTAGAAAAGACACACGGGGAAAAAAAAAGGAATCGTGAAAAATACTTCGCAAAATTGTTGCTCTGACGGCCGCAAGAGCGCCTCAGCCCCGTCCACGAGTTTTTTATTTATTTTTTGTCGCAGCAGAGGAGCGTTTTCTTTTCTGCTTTTTCAGCAGAGCTGAGCGAGAAATAATCACACAGATCCATGACTTCATGGCGCTGGACAGCCGGTTCGCTGGCTCAGACGCGATCGATGCGCTATAACGAAATGAGACACAAACCCAAAAACACAGCGGTCGAGTCGATGCAAGAACCAAAGAAACGTACACACACACGCACCTCTCCCACAAGACCTCGTGGATGGAAACGTTAGCCGGCTCGGCGGGGTCTTCTCCTCCTCCCTGTGGCTGCTGCTGCTGCTTCTGCTGCTTCTGCTGCTCTTCTAGTTCACCATCGCCGGCGCCGCCGCTCACCCCGCCGCCGCCGCGGTCGTCTACAACGGCGGCGGCAACGGCAACGGCGGCCGCGGTAGCGGTGGCGACAGCCGCTCTTTGTCCCCCTTCCTCCTCCTCCTCCTCCTCCTCCTCCTCCTCCTCCTCCTCCTCCTCCTCCTTCCCTTGATGACCGCCGCCGCCGCCGCCGCCGCCGCCGGGGGTGGTGACGAAACCCTGATGCAGCATGTCAGCGGCGGGCGAGAAAGAAGAGGAAGAAGGGGCAGGAGGCCGAGACAATGACGCCGCCGCCGCCGCCGCCGCCTGCTCGTTTCGAGACCTTTCCTCCTCCGCCTCCTCTTTCACGCCACGCTCCTCATCACCGGACCGGTGCTGCTGCGACGGCTCGCCCGTTGCCAGCGTGGACCCTCCCGCGTTCGACGAAGAGGAGGAAGAGGAGGAAGACGAGGAGGAGGAGGAGGAGGAGGAGGAGGAAATTTTCTTCAGGGAGGAGCCGGCTTCTGTTGCCTCGGGGAGGCGGGGGGGGGCGTCGCCGCCGACGCTTGCGCCCTCGTCGCCCTCACCCCCCACCGCGGCCTCTCCTGCTGCTGTTGCTGCTGCTGCTGCTGCTGTTGCTGTTGCCGGTGCTTCGCCGGGAGACCCCGCCTCCGAAACAGCCGCTGTCGCCGCCGACGCCGCCACCGCCTGGGAGGCAGTACCTGGGATGGTAACGCCAGGCGTGTGGTGGTCCGCCGCCCCGGGTGACCCGTCGCCGCCACCCTGTGGAACCTGCTGCTGCTGCTCTTGCTGCTCTTGCTGCTGCGCCGCAGTCGACGGCGCTCCGTCCGAAAACGCCGCCCGCGGCGAGCTCGACCTCGACCTGTTCGGGGCGGCCAAGAAGGCCTCGTCCAGATTCTTGTTGTCGGCAGCGGCGGTGTCCGAGCCCAAGGAGGACACCCCCCTCGGAGACGACAACGACGAGCCGCCGGCGGAAGCGGACGAGGACCTCCCGCCCCATTGCCCCCCCCCGGCGGCGGCGCCCCGGCCGCCGCTTCCCCGTCCAAGTCCCCGCCCCGCCGCCGACCTCGAGGACGAGGAGGCTGACCCCGCCCGCGACGCCGCCTCCTGGTACTTCCTCCGCATCTCCGCGAACGTCAACCTCGGCTCCTGCCCCCCCTGCTCCCCCCGCTGCTGCTGGTGCTGCCGGGGGGTGCTAGAGTCCTCCGCGGAGGCGACGAAGGACAGGGTCAGGGACGAGTTCGTGTGCTCGGAGGAAGAAGACACGCCTCGGGAGAACGACGCTGGCGGCGGCGGCGGCGGGTCGATATCGGCCAGTTGCTGCTGCTGCTGCTGCTGCTGCCGTTGCTGACTGCCGGGCGGGGCGGCGGCGGCGGGAGCGGCGGCGGCTTTATCGTCGCCGGGGTTCGAGAGCGGCGACGGGCGGTCGGCCGGACCCACC